ACAACATTTTTTTTGACCTTGATTATTTTTTTAACATAGGACATGTTAAAAATGGACCACGACTAATCAACTATAACTAAATACATGATTAACTGATAAACAATCTGTTACCCATGCGCTGGTTCATTTTTCTACTATTAATTCATTTTTATTTTTATGTCTTCTTGATTCATATAATTCACAGCTTTTGAATTTTCTGTGAACCATTTTTTTTTTATGTTTAGCTATTTTATTTAAATGTCAGGTAGAACTACAGGGAGTGACATTTGAGTAAGATACTTTGAATAGGGTTTCCAAATGTCAAATTTTTAAGCAGGAAAATGCAGTGAGAAATATGATTTTAATAGGTTCAAACTTTATTTTTTTAAACACCATGGTTTTTCTCTGACACTAACCAAACACTTTTTAACCAACTATTTTGTTATTTAATAAATTTTTGTTAAAAATTTATTAAATAACAATATAAACATATGTTTATAACAATTTTTGTTAAAAAATTTTTTTTACAAATTTTGTTATAAACTTATAAAGTAACAATATAAACATTGTTTGTTTAAGAATTTTTGTTATAAAAATTATTAAACAACAATATAAACAAGTTTGTTAATGTTAATAATAATAAAAATTTTGTTAATGTTGTTATAAAAATTAAATGCTTTTTGCGTATTATTTATCAAGACAGTAAAATAAGTTACTTGAATTTTTTTTGGTTGTGATAAATAATAATTGGATGGTGATTTTTGAGTAAACTTTAATAATTATTTTTTTTATAATAATGCTTTAGAGTTACTATACTAAATATGATTTGTGAAAATAAATGAAATATGATTCATTAAATATGTAAGAATGTGAAAAAGTATTATGATACTGATCGTTTTGAAATAAATTAATCCTTCAGTGTTCTGAGTGTCACAAAAAAGTTTAATCATTAAGTTTCAAAAACTTTCATTTAAGGAAAACATCATCATAAATTTAAAAACTCAAAACATTTCCAGAAAGTCAAATCTATTAGCAAATGCAAAAGATTCACATCTTAAGCATAAAGACTAACATATTAACTTTGTAGAAATTTCATCATAAGAATTTACAATTTTTTAAACAATTTTTAGTGCAATCATTATTAGTTTTTAATACAATATTAATTATTTTTTAATACAATAAATATTACTTTTTTGTGTGTATTTTGTATTTTAACTCATCGTAACTAAATTGTAAAAAAAAAATTAAAATCAAACTTGTAAAACAGAAAAAAACATTATACCATTGAGAAAATCTTGAGAATTCAAACAATAAATTTATTAAAACACTTATGTTCACTTAACCATTTCTTCGCCAAATTACTTGCAGATGGAGAAAATTTTTACTTATATTCTTAGAGTAAAAGCAAAGTACATTCTTTGTTAAAAACTTGTAATATATTCTTTGTGTTCAGTATTTATACTCAAAGTAAGTATATTCAAGGAGTTAAAGCAAAATATATATTAGAACAAAAAAGCAAATATATATTATAAATAAAAAAACATTCAGTAAAGCATTTTATTTAGGTTTAGCAGATGCCCGAGTTTTACAAAGAAGAGCGCCATAAAAATTTTGGTTTTGGTTCAGAACTGTATTTTCCTCCATAAAACCCAGACAACTGGTGACCCTATTTTATATAAGTAAAAACAACTTTAAAATATTTAAAGCATGTATATAATTTATGCTCTTAAAATAAAATTTCATAAAAACTTGAATTAACTATTCGATAAAAAAATTTATTTAATAAATCTGAAAATTTTTCGATATCATCTTATCAATAACCATATAAATAACACAAGTTTATATTTTAACAGCTTCAATTGCAAAGCTGTAAACTCTAATAAATATTTACTCAAAGTCTATTTAAATAACTTTAATGACTTATATCCAAACTCCATTTCGTAGTTTAAGTGGTAAATATATATCAGTTATATACGTATGAGATATTGAATCCAAGCACTCAATCTCTGCTTTTAAACCTGATTCATGCAAAAAATTTATTTGCTCTTTATAATCTTTATTTTGTAACACATAAGGACGATTCATTAGGTCTAATAATTTTTTATTATCATTTTGTGAAAGTGGAATAAGTACTCTATTAGGTATACGCATGCCAATAATGTCTTTAGGGAGAATACCTAGCCATTTCATTGAAGGACATGTCAAATGCTCAGCTTCATATGACATTGATTTTGATCCAAATTTATACACAAACATTATTTCAATTCCATGAGGATCCGCATCCACAAGTGCAAACACAGGTATTGATACATGTTTACATATTTTGTTTAGCAGCATACGAGTGTTGACATCTGGAAAACCTTTACCTAGAAATTACAATTTTTCTTTTTCTTTTGAATATTTTAACTCAAATAGAATTTTATTAAAACTTAATATATAATATTTTAAAACTGCATATAACAAACTTACCAGTTATTATTAAACTGTGACCTAATTTCTCTTGAAACCCATGTTCAGCTATCCTTTGAAAAATTGCTTCCTTTTCGATTACTAAGATGTATCTTGCTGTTATCTGAATAATTTGAATGCTTTCTATTTCAGATGGAATTTGTGTAACTTGATCATAGCAATTAACTGTTAAATTATTTTGATTAGTATATTTTAAGCAACCATAAATTAGCCCTTTTGCTGATGATAATACATTTAATGAATTACGTGGAACACCCAACATACATGAAATATTTGCTAGACAATCATCTACATAACCTTGACAAACAAAGAGATTAACATTAGAATAATAAATATCACGTTTTGTTGAGTGTTTACCCATTAAAATAAGCTTGTAGCAGTGACACAAACATACCATCATTATGGTATATTTTCGAAGTGAAGGTAAATGTGAAAGTGAAACATCACTGGCTTCCACAACATCTATCATACGAAAACCAGAATCTTTTAAATAATCTGTATTGAAATTACCACCGCGCTTATTGATTGAAAATTTAGGTAAACTATTGTTTGCTATGTTTATTAAAAAATCTTTTATCAAATTCTCAATCTTTTCTAAAATTTCTTCTTTTGATAAGTAATTGAGACTGAAGATTTGTCTTTTCGTATGAATTGTCTCTATTCCTAAGAGTGAAACTCTTTTTAAACTAACTAACTCTTGAGTAAACTCATTAACTTTACACCAAAAATCTTCTTCAGGACTGCATTTCGCCATGAAGTTGACAAAATATCAGTAAGATTAAAGATTTATATAAAATACGCTTTAATTTGTAATAATAATAATAATAATACTAATAGCAATAATAATAATAACAACGATAACAATAATAATAATAATAGTAATAACAATAATTATAATATAATATTATTAACAAATAGTATTATTAATTATTAATAAATATTAATAAAAATAATTATTAATAAAAAAATATTATATAAATATATATAAAAATCAGCATATATAAAATTTATAAGTGATTATTAAACAATATATAATTATTTATTATATATTGTTATATATAATAAATAAGTATATATTATTATATAATGCTTATTTTATATTCTAATCTTATTTAAAATATTTTACTAACTAAATTACTTATCCAATATTATTACTTTCTAATTTATTTATGCTCTAATTTATTCAAACTATTAAGACACCAATTCAATTCGAATTAAACTCGAATTTAGGTTAAAATCATAAATTTCGCAAGTTCGAATAAATATAGCCAATGATTATTTTAGCAATTCTTACATTTTTAGTAATTCTTACCTAGCGACACTTAGCTCATGCAATAGCTTGATTTCAACATATAGGACCTATTTGCGTTAATACATCCACATAAAAAACAAAAAACAGAAACTCTGAACCCGCAATAATTATTTAACCGGCGGGTTCAGCCAATTATTTCAAATTTTTCAGAATAGATTAAAAGAGATCATCGCTCCTCAAAATATTGCAAATATTTGAAACATTTTTTTTTTCTGTGTCATTTCTGTGTTTAAGACACCAATAAAATTGGAAAAAATTACGGCGAATTCCGAGGAAAAAAACAGTGCTCATGATTCAAATAATTAAATTTCAAAGAAATCTGAAAAACGACAAAAACGAAAACTTTTGCTTTATGTTGGGGATAAGGCCACGGCCGTCCCGAAGAAATTTTAAAGGGGGTGATGTGTCGACTAAAGCCAAAAAAAAAATTTTTAATCTCTAAAAAAAAAAAAAAATGGATCCACGTTTGCCGATTGCCTCCTTCCCCCCCCGGGACGGCTCTGGATAAGGCCCATGCGATTACACCCCCCGATTCAATGAAATTTGGCAAATTCGGAACTTTTATTTAGATACAGTCGGCAAGATGAGACTATTTATTTCTAGTAGGCAAATTGGAAGATTTGAGGATATATATATCCTCATATCGTCCTCAAATCGTCCAATTTGCCTAATATATATATATATATATATATATATATATATATATATATATATATATATATATATATATATATATATATATATATATATATATATATATATATATATATATATATATATATATATATATATACATATATATATATATATATATATATATATATATATATATATATATATATATATACATATATATATATATATATATATATATATATATATATATATATATATATACATATATATATATATATATATATATATATATATATATATATATATATATATATATATATATATATATATATATATATATATATATATATATATATATATATATATATATATATATATATATATATATATATATGTATATATATATATATATATATATATATATATATATATATATATATATATATATATATATATATATATATATATATATATAAACACTGGCATAGGAACAGGGAGGCGGAGGGAGCGATAGCCCCCACAACTAAAATACTGGGGGGGCGGACACTGCATTTAGCCCCCCTACCACCTCCTAAACAGTTTTAAAAATGCAATGACTCAATTACAATTAAACATCACCATCTCCATTAGACGTCACACTAACTTTTTTTTTAAAATGAATTTGTGCTGGCAAAAGATGACTAATCACGTTAACAAGATGATTAATCACGTTGCGTGTGATAAATAATTGAATAAATAGATTATTTTCATCTATTTTGCAAAATTGAGGAACTTTTTCCTTTTTAATATGTTTCCAGCCTCCCCCCCTCCTCTAACTTTCGCGACCTTTCTACGCCACTGTATACAAAAAAATGTTGTATTTCTTATTTTACAAATATATCAAACACTGATTTGAAACATTAAACCACACTTTGTAGTGGTTATACACATTATATTGAAAATAATAGTTATATTATAGATGTTTAGTTAAATAAATACAAAATTTTTAACTTATATTTTAAAATAAAATCATAAAAAAAAATTCTTTGATGAACGCTGACTTAATATGAAAAATTAGATAAACGCAGAGTGGGCCAAGATTGACATAAAATGGACAAAAAATCAACTCCTTTATTTTTAAAGTTGTCAAATTATAATTTTTATCAGTGACTCTAGTCAACATGAAGATCTTTTTTTTTTTTTTTTAATTTTTTTGCAGATGCAGGCACCCTAAACACCTTAATAGAAAAGGATGTATAGGAAACAAATAACAAAGAAACATTTAATAAATATTTTATCAGAAATCAGAGTAAAAATATTCAAAATTTTAAATTAAAAAAAAAGATTACAAGAAAATTTGTATACAATGTTTTTTAAATTCAAGTTCTTTAATACATCTCAAACTCTTTCTTAGAGAGCTAATAATTGGATCTGAACTGCAAAATAATCTTTGCATAATGTCTTCATTTGTGATTTTTCTTGAATATTTTCTCGTAAAGTGTTATCTATTATTTTTAACGTCTTTATTACGACATTCCTGAGCTTCTTCAGAAAGAAGACCTACTGCGACTGACTTATTTCGTACAACTTGAGAACTATGAATTAGAATTTTATGTACAATTTGAGGCATTGCAAACCATGGTACAGAGAAACGTAGAGCTCTGTTGTTACTTTGGTATATTTTTCAAGTTCATTTGCGTTTATTTGATGTTTGTACGATAAAACACAATGAATTAAGTAGAAGCGTTTCGTGAGATTTTTGTCTAAGTCAAGTATTTCAGCAGAAAACTTATAGTATCGGAATACTTTTCGTGCCGTGTTTCTATCACTTATTGTATCTGAACCGCTGCGTTTTGGTACATCTACAATTAAACTTAAGTAATCTTTCATTTTTTGTTGATCTTTTTTTTATAATAATTTCTTTATCATCCTCTCCTCTAGTTTGTCATTTTTATAATTTAATTCTATAACTTATGTGAAGGCAGTATTCAAAGCACCTAATCCATGCATGTAATGTACTCAATCCAAGCTCAGTGGAAACTGTATCATAGATTTTTGAAAAAGCAATATTTATATTATTCATATTTGAAGGGGTCACAAATAATACATACTTGAAAAGAATTACTTAAAGACGAAACTATAGTAGCCACTTTTCCATCAATCATTGTGCATTCTAACTTATGTTTGATAACAAAGGAATTAAAGATCGTTGGTTTCAAGTTACTGTTCTTAAAGTAAATATATTCTTGTGTAATAACCTCAGCACTTTCTTTTACATATTGAAATCGTACTGGACGGCAGGTTTTTCATTAGTCCATAGTGATTCGCTAGATTCTTCAATATAAAGTTTAATTGGAATGATTCAGGATAAAAAATAAAGATTGTTCCTCGACATAACTGATACTTATCTCGTTTTCTGTACTTTGTTTGTATAATGATTAGCCGGTTGAACCATCAAATCCTACTTTGTGTATAAAGACAAGAATGGATTTCTCAGGAGCCTTTGCAGATTCATTGAGTACTTTTAATAGTCTGTATGTAGTATGGTCAATAAAGCTTTGTAAATCAACTGAGGCTGAATAATCAGTAGTTTGTATTCCACGACGAGGTATACATAAATTCTTTTCTTCCCTTACTTCATAATAAGTTGGATACAACTTGTTTCATTTAGAAACTGCTCCAATGCGAATTGTTTGGTAATCGGCTTTACTTTGTCGGCAGTCCAAAATCAACGTTAATGCTTCCTCTCCAATATACATTGTTGCTAATTTAACTAAACCATCTTTCTCTGATTTTATTTCTTTTTTCGCAACCTTAAGTTTAAAAATGTAAATTTGAAGAGTAAAGTGAGTACAATTCACTAGGAAAAATAATTCCCCTTAATATATATATTTTTTAAATAAATAAGATAAATTAAAAATGACTATAGTATTGAAGTTAATGTACCGTGGCATCGTTGAACCTTTTTTCCTCTATTAGTTTCAAAATAAGTGATTAAAATAATTCCTCTCTTTCGACAGCAATATTTGTTTTTTCTGCTCTCCTCTTTCTTGTTTTTTCAGAAGCTTCGGTGAGTGGTATGGAATTCGCATCTGGTGGTCTTCCGTAGACGATAATTTATATCAAAATATCAGATGATTGTAGTTACTATAAACATTTGCTAAAATACAATTAAACAGTGAAAAACATCATAAGTACATTACTTTAATTTTTATGAAATATCATACCTAAATTGTGAGAAGAAGAAGGAAAAGCCTAGCCCGAGTTTTGGCCCTTGTCTAGTTTATCTGTTTCAAAACGTGCTTCGCCTATTTGTAGTTATTTTTCTAACCAGATTTTGTGATGCAACTCAAATATATTTTTGTGTCTGTTTACTTTATTCCATTTTTTGTAAAACTGTTTAGAAAATAATTTGAAGTCTATGTCAGAGATCCCTGTTCGTATTTTACATAAAAACATTATTGATAGTTAGCTGAAATAAGTTTAAGTTCATAAATAAAAAAACTACATTACTTAATAAAGTGGAATAGCATTATATTTTAATGTTTTTTGTAGTTTCCGTAATTGCAATTAATTATTTAGAGTTCATACTTAACAACAATGTGTTTTGAACAATTAAATATGACAAACGAGTTGTATGTTTAAAACCTGCTAAACTTTAATTGATGCAACTTTGAGCAAGATATTTTTAATGAGAAACCTTTTACAATATTAAGACACTGTAAAAAAAGTTAATCCCATAGTGGGGAAACGTGGGCGAAAAATAATCTTGAACCATTTAGGGTAACTTTTTATTATGTTTTGTAATACTTTTAACTGTCATATTTAAAGTTAAAAAAAAAAGTCCTAAAATACAAGATTATTTTTATTTGTTAATTTAATAATT